GGAAATGAACCCAGATCCTCTGAAAGAGCATCTAGCCCTCTTTTTTTTTAATTTTATTTATTTAATTTTTTTATTTTATGTACATTAGTGTGAAGGTGTCAGATCCCTTGGAATCTGTGTTATAGCTGGGCAAAGTGGCACACACCTGTAATCCAGCACTCAGGCAAGCAGAGGCAGGCAGATCTCTGAGGTCAAGAACAACCTGGTCTGTAAGAGTCCGGGAAAGGCTACACTTGGTGGTACACACTTGGTATTCTCATTTGAAAAAGAATTGTGAGGGGGGAAAAGGCATTTGCTATACCTAGAGAGCATAGTGCCTACAAGCCTTCAACCCCAGCAGTGCAGAGGCCAGCCTACATAGTTACATAGTGAGTTCCAGGCCAGCCAGTTGGGTGTAGAGTAAGACCTTGTATTTTTTTTTTTTTTAAGGACTTTATTCTACCTTCTCTGTAAAACAATTTCAGTTTTTGCCAAAGGTTGCTAATGGTGTTACTGGTTCTTTAAACCACTATGTAATCCTTGGACTGACATTTTATCACTTCATTTAGATAACCCAAACTGAGCCTGTATATGTCCCCCCAAAATCAACCTTCCTTCCTTATCAAGTGCAGAGCAACTAGATACAGAGAACTGGGAAGAAGAAGAAGAAGAAACTGGGGTCCCCACCCAGATTTTCCCTTCTAGACACTTAACTATATTCACAGCAAAGAGCAGAGAAGAGTTACCAAGGTAAAAGGAAAAGATCCCACCTGCTCCCAATTTTTACCAGCAGGGTTAAATAAAGACCTTCATAAATCTGAGCACAAAAGAATTGTGAAGTAGGAAAGAAAAATAAAATACTAAAGTGTAATTAAATTGTTTGGTTTTGTTTGTTTATTTTAGTGTATTGTTCTTCCCCAAATAACATGTGAGTCTGCGTATATCTGAAGTAAGTGTATTTAGTTTGCTTTGGGGTGATCAGTACTGTTTTGAGGTCAGACTGGTTCTTTTCATTGCTATATCTTTAACTTTTGAAACGTGACCTGGAACAGAAACTATATGGGAAATGGTTTCTGAACAAACAAGTTATACTTTAGTGAGGCAGGATGGTAGTTTGTAGAAATCTTGAGAGAATCAAATTTTAGGACACAGAAGAAAAGGTAAAATTTAAAGACACGAGAAAAGCTGTGATCAAAAAGCATTGAGTTGGAAATGAGAATTGTTAGGAGCAGATGTATAACAGAAACATTCAAAGTGTTTCAAGAGGGTATGTATTTAAAGAAATAAGACTGAGCTGGGCATGGTGGTACTCGCCTTTAATTTCAGCAGTTGGAGAGGCAGGCTGAGCTCTCTGAGTTCCAGGCCAGACTGGACAACAAAGCCAATCCAGGACAGCCAAGGTTACATAGGTAAACAAATGTCTTAAAGAGGGGGGGAGAAAGCACTGAAGGGCTGGGAAAGTGGTTTAGTCAAGTGCTTGTCTGGCATCCACGAGGCTCTGGGCTTGATTACTAATGGTGTATAAAAACCACATGTGCATGTCTGTAGTCCCAGCACTTGGGAGATGGAGGCAGGAAGGTCAGAGGTTCATGGTCATTTTTGATAAAACATAGAGACCCTTTCTCAAAGGCAGGGTCCCCACTTGCTGGAGAGTGAGCTCAGTCGGTAACATGCTTGCAAAAGTACAGGCTTTGGTTTCAGTCTTCAGAATCTGCATTGGAAGCCAGGCACAATGGCCTACATCTCAATGCTCAGGGAAGCAGAGACAGCCAACCTGGTCTACAAAGCAAATCCAAGACAGCCAAGACTACACAGAGAAACACTGTCTTGAAAAGCAAAAGCAAATAACAACAAGGAATAAAAAGAATCTACATTGTAAATGTCAGGCATGGTGGTACACAATACCAATGTTGGGGAGGCTGAGACCATCAGATCGCTAGGGCCCATCCAACATGAAATCAGATTCTTGACGGCACAGTTAAACCTGAGATACATGAGTGTCACAGAACTTTATGTGTAGCTTTTTATATTTATGCATTTTTTCTAAGCTTTCATTGTTTTTCTCAAATTCTCAAGATTT